CTCTAATATGGGGGGCGATAATACCCATTTTTCAGGGTTGTGTGAGAATGAAAGATAGTGCAGATAAAGCATCTAGCTCAGTAGCCAGTGTGTGGTAGGCCCTCAGGAAATGTTACTAATTCTTCCCATCCATTCTCCACACTGTAAAGTTTAGTAATCTGGCAAAATATTCAATATACCCTCTAGGAAGATCACACTCTCTGTCACATCTAGTGTGTTAACTAATCCAAAGAATTTTTATATCTCTTAAGAAGATGATTATAATTAAAATTGCTTATTTTCTGTACAGAGCCATATTAACCCTTGTACTGCTGGGTGCCTTAGCTATTGTCTTTATTATTCAGCTTTTAATACAAAAATCCAGGTTTCTTCCACTTGGGAACTAACTTAATGTCCATCTTGGACACTAAGTTGCACATGCACTTGAATAGTGCATTCTTTCTTCTCTTTTTTTTCATTTCTCTTTTTTCCTCTTTTTCCTGAAAATTCTGATTTTGATTTCCTTTAGCTTATGTGTCTTTATCTCATAGAACACAATAAATTGTTCTCTTTCCATTTACAGCTCAAATATGATGGGATAAAAGGGTTATATGCATATTGCAGGGTACTTCAGTTCTCAGGCCTCTACAAACTTATCTTCTGTTAACAATGTCCAGGTGAGGAGACCAAATTGCCTCAAAGTTTGGGAGACCAGGAATTGTGGCCTGAGCTTGTGTTCTTTCCAAGTGTAATTCTTCATCCCAATTTCTGTTAGGATGAATGAAATGATACCAGTATGCCAATCCATAACATCAAAGAAGAGGGTCCTTTAGTCAAGAATAAGGCCAGGAACACTTTGGGGGCCAATGATACTCAGGTTACTTTTGGTGACAGATTGCACTAGTGGCAGATTAGAACCCAGAGATGTAAAGCCTCCCTTCATTAACTAAAACTCTTAAAGGCAGTCTTTACTGGTAATAAAGGTGGGAAGAATATTTAGGAAGGTCTTTGTAGACTGAAGTAGTTTTATTTCCATTGTTAGAGAAATAATTCAAAATGTATGTCTTCCCCATGCCCCATCACTAGTGTTATTTCTACTTACGGAAAGGTAAATAAAAATATCTTTGACCTGAAATAAAAGGACTTGCTTATGTCAATTAATAGCTGTATGGCAAATAATTTCCTGATCCTTGAACTGAGAATGATAATGGAATTATAATCTTGGCTCTGCCTAATTTGTAGGACTATAGTGATAACTGAATGAGATATTAAATATAGAATGACCCCCCCCCCCCAAAAAAAGAATGAAACTCAAAGGAAAGCTTCGAAAAGGAATTCATAAAGGAAATGCACACAAACACACAAACATTGGATGCAGGATAATACAGATTTTATTAGGAAAGAATGGAAAGAAGAAAATTCAGTCATTGTGAAGAGTTTAGTAACCTGGCAGAAGCTACTAAATATAATGCATATATCTAAAAAGATGATCAATAATGATCACTGTGGAGAGCTAAATATACACATGTAAGAGGTTGTTTAGGGGCACCTGGCTGGCTCAGTCGGTTAAGCTCCAACTCTTGATTTTGACTCACGTCATGATCTCATGGTTTGCGAGTTTGAGCCCACATTGGGCTCTGCCCTGAGAGCATGGAATCTGCTTGGGTTTCTCTCCCTCTCTCTCTGCTCCTCCCCACTCACATTTTCTCTCTCTCTGTCTCTCTTTCCCTCCCCCCACCAAAAACAAACTTAAAAAAATTTGTTTAATGGTTTCTGGTCTCACATTTATGTTTTTCATCCATTTTGAATTTATTTTTGTGTATGGTGTAAGAAAGTGGTCCAGTTTCATTCTTCTGCATGTACTCATACAGTTTTCCCAACACTTTTTGTTGAAGAGACTGTCTTTTTTCCATTGGATATTCTTTCCTGCTTTGTCAAAGATTAGTTGACCATATAGTTGTGGGTCCATTTCTGGGTTTTCTATTCTGTTGCATTATGTGTCTGTTTTCGTACCAGTGCCATACTATCTTGATGACTACAACTTTGTAATATAGCTTGAAATCTGGAATAGTGATGCTTCTAGTTTTGTTTTTCTTTTTCAGGATTGCTTTGGCTATTTAGGGTCTTCTGTGGTTCCATACAAATTTTTGGATTGTTTGTTCTGGTTCCTTGAAAAATGCTGGTGGTATTTTGATAGGGATTGCATTAAATGTGTAGATTGCTTTTGGTAGTATAGACATTTTAACAGTGTTTGTCTTTCCAATATGTGAGCAATGAATGCTTTTCCATTTCTTTGTGTCCTCAATTTCTTTCATAAGTGTTCTATAGTTTTCAGAATACAGATTTTTTACCTCTTTGGTTAGGTTTATTCCTAGATATCTTATTGTTTTTGGTGCAATTGCAAATAGAATCGATTCCTTGATTTCTTTTTCTGCTGCTTATTTATTGGTGTATAGAAATACAACAGATTTTTGCATGTTGATTTTATATCCTGTGACTTTGCTGAATTCACATATTAGTTCTAGCAATTTTTTGGTGGAGTTTTTTGGGTTTTCTACATAGAGTATCATGTCATCTGTGACAGTGGAAGTTTGATGTCCTCCTTGCTGATTTGGATGCTTTTTATTTCTTTTTGTGTCTGATTTCTAAGGCTAAGACTTCCAGCACTATGTTAAATAGTAATGGTGAGAGTGGACATCCTTGTCTTATTTCTGACCATAGGGGAAAGGCTCTCAGTTTTTCCTCACTTAGGATGGTATTAGCTGTGGGTAGTTTATATATGGCCTTTATGACATTGAGGTATGTGTCATCTAACCCTACTTTGTTGAGGGTTTTTATAAAGAATGGATGTATTTTGTCAAATGCTTTTTATGCATCTATCGATGATAGATGATTCTTATGAATCTTATCCTTTCTTTTACTAATGTGGTGTGTCACATTGATTTGTGAATACTGAACCAGTCCTGCAAACAAGGAACAAATCCCACTTGATCATGGTGAATAATTCTTTTAATGTACTATTGAACTAGATTCTCTAGTATCTTGTTGAGAATTTTTGCATCCATGTTCATCAGGGATACTGGCCTATGATATAGGAAACCATCAAAATCCTAGAGGAGAACACAGGCAGCAACCTCTGTGACCTCAGTCAGAGCAATTTCTTACTAGACACGTTACCAAAGGCAAGAGAAACAAAAGCAAACACGAACTATTGGGATTTCATCAAGATAAAAACCTTCTGCACAGTGAAGGAAGCAACCAACAAAACTAAAAGGCAGACTACAGAATGGAGACGATATTTGCAAATGATATATCTGATAAAGGGTTAGTATCCGAAATCCATAAAGAACTTAGCAAACTCAACACCAAAAAGCAAATAATCCAGATAACAAATGGGCAGAAAACATGAAGAGACACTTTTCTAAAAAAGACATCTGGGGTGCTAGGGTGGCTCAGTCAGTTAAGCTACTGACTTCAGCTCAGGTCATGATCTCGTGGTTTATGAGTTTGAGGCCCACGTTGGGCTCTGTGCTGATAGCTCAGAGCCTGGAGCCTGCTTCGGATTCTGTGTCTCCCTCTCTCTCTGCCTGTCTCCTGCTTGTGCTCCGTCTCTCTGTCTCTCTGTCTCTGTCTCTGTCTCTCAAAAAAAAAAAAAAAAAGACATCCAGATGGCTAACAGACACATGAAAAGATGCTCAACATTACTCACCATCAGGGAAATACAAATCAAAACCACAATGAGATATTACCTCACACCTGTCAGAATGGCTAGACTTAACAACACAAGAAACAACAGGTGTTTGTGGGAATGCAAACTGATGCTGCCATTCTGGAAAATAGTATGGAGGTTCCTTAAAAAACTGAACATAGAACTACCCTATGACCCAGAAAGTGCACTATTAGGTATTTACCCAAAGGACACAAAAATACACATTTGAAGGGGTACATGCACACTAATGTTTATAGCAGCATTATCAGCAATAGCCAAACTATGGAGAGAACCCAAAAGTCCATCGATTGATGAATGGATAAAGAAGATGTGGTATATATATACAATAGAATATTTCTCAGCCACCAAAAAGAATGAAATCTTGCCATTTGCAATGATGTGGATGGATCTAGAATGTACTCTGCTAAGTGAAATATTCAGAGGAAGACAAATACCATATAATTCCACTCATATGTGGAATTTAAGAAATAAAACACATGAACATTGAGGAGGGTAAAAAAGAGAAGAGAGAGAGAAATAAACCACAAGAGACTCTTAATGATAGAGAACAAACTATGGTCTGACAGAGGGAGGCGGGAGGGAGATAGGCTTGATGGGTAACAGGTATTAAGGAGGGCACTTGCTGTGATGGGCACTGGATGTTATATGTAAGTGGTGAATCACTGATTTCTATTCTTGAAACCAATATTTAACTATATGTTAACTAAATAAAATTTAAACAAAAAATAAAATAAAAAGACAATTTAAATGCCATAGAAGTGAAAAGTGATGGTCACTTTTCCAAGGCTGAAACTATGAATCAACAGATGTTGACCAGCATCTGGAGTTGACCAGATGGAGTAGATCAGCAATTCTTACAGTGATCAAGATAAAATAAGAATAAGATCAAATTTAAGTAGACTTCATTCCCTTAATAGAATCACAAGCATTGCAGTAAAAGATGATGAAAGTGAAGAATAAGCATGTGTTCCCAGTAAAGTTTAGGGAGAAAGTTCTTACAGGAACAGCAACTTTAGTAAACTGGTCTAGAAATACATCTTTGGTCAGTGGTGGGTCTACAACAAGTCGATCAGCAGCAGGAAGGCTAGAAAGAGCTGGACACACACACAGTGCAGCAGCAGGTAGTCCTGCAGCAGGGGCTGTGGTAGCAGGTTGGGCGGCAGTAGGCTGACAACAGCTGAATGCACAACCTTGAGCTAGGCACCCAGGCAGGCAGGAGCACGTGGGGTGGTAGTAGGTTCTCTTGCAGTACACAGGGATAGAGCAATTTGGCTGGGAGCAAGCTGTACAGCAGCAACTGGGGCAGCAGCAAGGCTGGCAGCAGCTGGACCCACAGCCACTGGATCCACAGCAGGTGGTCCTGCAGAAGGTAGGCTGGGAGCAAGAGAAGGAACATGAGTGGGTCATGGTGTCAGGGGTAGAGGGCGGGCAGGTCCTGTTCAGAGGTGAGTTTCTCAGATTCTAGTGCCCCTTCCTGTTCTGAGGCTTTTGTGCCCTAGACCCCTGAAGTTTGGATCATGGGAACGGCTTTTCTTGTTGTTGTTATTGTTTACATTGATTTCGAAGATCACTGGGGGAGGTGTGGAAAAAATGAGGAAGCTGTTCCCTAAATGTTATGATTTTCAGAAAATAAGTGTTTAATGTGTTTCCTATTTGAGAATGACTCATAGAAAAATTTTCAGATATAGGGTTATGGGTTGGCTTAATTGGAAAAATGTCCAACTCTTGATCCCAGCTAAGGTCTTAATCTCAGGAAGATGAGCTCAAGACCTACATTGCGCTCCATCTTGGGCACAATGCCTATGATAAAAATAAAAAAAGAAGAAGAGAGAAGGAAAGAAAATAAATACCCAGATAAAATCAAGGTGGTCACATCAGAAGCAACACGCTTGCTACAATAATTTCACCATGTGATATTGTTCCTACTGGCCTGGGGTGTGGTTGGTAGGTGAGGTCAGTAGATATCCGCAGGTTGCTCCATAGGTTGAACACAGATTGGGATGTTCCTGAAGTGAGGGACATGATGTTGATATGTTCACAGTAATGAATTAAAATCATGCCTGAGACTAAGTCTGTTTCCTCACAGAAGCCTGATTGAACCCTTTCACAGTCATCTGACTCTTGTACCACCCTAGTACATCTTGGTATCCCATTTCAATCAAAGACACATGAGTGGAGGATGTCTGACAACATCTTTTTCAAATGTGAAAGCAGAACCAAAGAGGAAGATAGAAGCCACAGAGTACAATGAGACTAAGAAAACATCAATAAATATACTTCCGGGATAAGCAGTGGTCCAGATTTATGAAGAACTGACAAATTGCCTTACAGGAGGGAAGAAAAATAGGTTTGGCAGAAAATCATATGATGCCATTTTACTATACCATTAGGTCCTGGGGACGAGGAGGCCAAACAAGAATGTGATTTGCACGACCCAAACACAAGCGTGTTCAGCTGCCTCTGTTGCTCACGAGGACACCGCAGGCTCACCTGTATGTGAGGCAGAAGAGTGCTGAAGGGCTGGATGCCACCCAAGGCAACAGGAGCATCCTGTGTTTCCCAGGGCTCTAAAGGGCAGGTCCCGCTGTCCTCACATATGGCTGCT